GACTGCGGCACGTAACGTTATAATGACTCGGATACAAAGTATCACCTGCCACTAGTATGACGCACCTCGGCCGTCACCGTCCCGCTATCGCGCCGCATAGCCCGATCCTTTCCTAACTCTTTTCCAATTTTCCCCCAGTCCACCTCCGCTTTTCCCCTTGTTCTTCCCTGGTGCATATCCTCTATTTGGTCTTCTACTTGCTGCTAACCGCCTCCTCGACCTTGCCACTTTCACCCACACACCCGCACGAGATAGCAGCAAGACCACAGCAAACAAGCAGAGCACTCTATAAAATAATTTGTTTGAACGCATCTCGCCCCCCTTTTACTGCTTACCCCCCCCCCCTCATTCGTTACGTGTATGTCTGTCTTTTACTTTCACCGAAGTCCGAAACACCCCTAAGCCTTTCCCCTCTCCTCGAATTCAAGCCGCCACCTACTTTTCACTTCTATGGGACTCCAGTCTTCTCGATCGTCAGTAAAAGATCCCTCTACTCATTCTCCTCTTTGCCTCCAACACTTGCTTTCACTGCTAATGCTGCCGTTGGCGCTGAGCTTTCGAACACGCGCAGCATTAGGGGCATATCATCGACAACAGTTGCACTCGTAGCAGAGAGAGGACATACGTGCCTTGAAAGCGGTTACCTCTTTTGCCATCGCACTGAAAAGCAGTGAGATCCATGGGGAAGAGGAAGAGCTTTGACGTCGCCCTGCGGCTTTCCATCTCGTTCCTGCTTCAACTACTTTCAAACGACAAACTTGCAGAACAGCAATGTGTTAAGCAGGTTATGGCCTGTGATCATTCCATTTTGAGCCATCATTATTGCCACTGTCACTAGAAGCCGCGTAAGCTTCGTCTGTGGCAGCAGCATCGCCCTCAGGGAAGCCAGTATTTGCGAGTGAATGAAAGAAGCACTTAGAGAATGTGGGGGAAAATCTGTTCGAAACTGTGGAAGGAGTTTATTAGGGGTCAGGTGGATATGGAGATTCCGAAGACTAATCCTAAGCGCCTGTCAATCCCTATGTGGTAGTCCTAGTAAGAGTGACTATAACAGTGCACTGGCTAGGCAATTGAGTGGATATTGATGTGGATTGACATTGGAATAGAGGAAGACAGGCTGACGGAACGACAGGAAGAGCATACTTTGTGGTGAAATGTCACCTGGTATGTAGTATGCCGGAGGGCACTTGGTCCAAGGGAAGGTCGCAGCCACGTCTATGACAGGGTGCTTTATGCACGCAACCGTTGCTCCTCCAAAAAAAAGTTGCTACCACGCAGCGTATTACTCTCGACTTTTCGTTCTGCTTCTGAGTAGGGCCTGGCCAACAGCTGAATTGGTGACCTAACTAAACACAGGGATACGAGGAGGCTTAGGACACCTGTTGCATTCGCCCTTGATTCTGTATTAAATTTATACCGTAGCTACGCATAGCAAATCACACGTTACTATTAAAGATATTTCGGTGATAGGCAAAAAAGTCGACATTACTTGAAAAGGTTAATAGTAGAGGTTTGCTTAGCCTAGAGTACACCAGTGACGTAAAATATTTCACGGTGGTAGGGAGGTTTGTCTGTACAAGTGAAACTGCGCTGCCAAACAATTACACGCAGTTATTTACAGTTCTATCTCCATTCTGCCTTAGGGTAAACCAGAAATGGAGGCAAGTTTTTTCGAGCCTAGCGCACGGTTACATAAGAGGCTAAATCGAATTGTTGTACAGCGGTAAGTGTCGTTATAGGACGTGTTTGCTTCTAAATGTGCTCGCTCTGGACTGAGTCCAAATGCACTCCAAGGAGTAACGATATGAAGCCGTCATGAACATAAGGTATTCGTGACGAAACGTGTATTCGTGTATAGCGTCGGAAGTCGGCGTCCAGTCGCGGGGGATAATATATCAGATTGTTGACGGGCGATGGAAAAGATAAAAAGAAGCTCAATCTAGATGGGTTGTGGAACCAGCAGCTTGAAAATGGAATGTAACGCGAGTGGGTTCATTGTTGGTCATGTACCTCTGCTGGAAGCGAAGGGATGCTTCGCCTCCTATCTGGTGAGGAGAGAATGGTGCTATTAACTTCAATATACTTGTATAAATTCACAAGTATACTTAATAGTATCGTTCTGGCTTAAATTTGTTTTCTGAAATAAGCGACTGAGAGCAATGCAAACAGAACGGTGAACATATTCGCGTATAGACTGTCAAGTAAGCAAGACATTTACCGGGCAGCTAAGGGCAGGTCGTAGATCATTGAGCCACCATAGCGCCATGTTCGCGGCTGTATACATTTATATTTGTATATGTTCTATGTTTCTATGGATGATATTTAATTAATCACAAATGACAAAAAAAAAATCACGATTAATCGACAAATTGAAACAAAATCATAATAAGCTATTCTTGTAGCGTTAATAAACTATCACCTGTGAACTGAAGAAGAGTGAATTGTGAGGTGCTACTTTATAGCTATTGGATGTGACGGGTAATAGTATCAGAAGGTGGAAGAGTCGTCTAGGAGTGGGCATCAAATAACCCTGAACCTAATCACAGTTGAAGGGTCGAAGGTCAGCTATAACTTAACGCAGCTTACACTAGCTACCATGCTAATCGGGAATAGGATCTAAATTCAGATCTTAAGCTGGAAAAATCAGGATTTTTCAAGACGAAGTGTGCAAAAAACACAAACAGTTGTTGCCTGCGTTTATAGCTACTAAAATAGTCTTTAATCGTTATTTAAGAGTCGTAATTTCCGCAGATTGACGCTAATATAGCAGAGCTTACTAGAACGCATCTGCTCACTTGATACCTGTATTATTGTCAGAAGGAAGACAGAAAATGCAAGCTTATGGAAAAACGACCATGAACAATAATCTGTTATTGACTGTTATTTACGTTTGTTTGGAGTGAGCTTAGGGCCTAGAGGTGTGTTAGTTGGTAATTATCTCGGAGAAGCAAGTCAAGCCATTAGAGGGAGGATTCACTGGTGTGAATAAAAGATCCAGTCCGCCACTCGATCGAAAAAAGCAATGTTACGTTGTTATCATTAGCGCAACGGTGGTTTAAGAGAGTCCACGAACGCATGCGAGATAAGCACAGTGAGTGCGTCGTCTCGAAGAGAGAGCCCCGCGTATCAAACGTAAATGTCAATCAATGTGGTTATCATTCAGTGGCACGGAACAAAAAAGCAGGAGAAAGCTTTTTGCGTTTTCGATTTGCAGAAGGATTAAAGTCGATTTGCAACGAGCACAGCTATTCTCGTTAAAATACAATTTTTTTAGTGTTTGGGGATATTGGGCTAACAAAAAAACGTCGCAAAGACATCTAACGCCCCCCCCACCCCACCCCACCCCGGGTTCCAAAAACGACGGTGAAGTATTGAATAAACGTAATGCCGACATTGAAGTTAGAATGATAGCAGGTGTTCGAAAGCTTCCGTTATCTATCTGTCTATTTATCTAGCAGCAGGTATATATGTATATTTATGTAGATATATGATAATAGAACGACACAATGGCCAAAATAACCATAGACAAGCTAATCCATATACTGAGTAAGACAATAGACGAAATATTAGCTCATCCACTCTCAAACGATAAACCTAAAAAGGAAAAAAAAAAAAGATAATTTCGAGCTTCAACCTACACGACCTATATCTGTTTCAATGTAGCGTAATAAAGGTGGACTTTTATTCTTATAAACACGCAGTAAACTTTATCTTGAATTAGAGTCGAACTTAATTGTGCTCTTTAAATGCAATTTCTTCAAAATCGGAATAAACAAGTTAAAATTGTACTTGGTTGATCAAGATAGACAATCGAAGTCCTAAACAATCCCGTTCAGACAGGTTTCATACTTTATCTTATTTTCTCTCGTCATTGGATAGCAGGCGCTACCCGCCCAATATCTATAAACTAATAGTTCGATTCACGCCAAATATGTACGGCCAAATCGTTTGTCTATTACGCTTATTATATATAAAACAAAACAGATTTGAAGCGAAGCATATCTGCAGTATTCTGCGGTAGTCGGAACTCCAATGTTTCTTGCGCTCATATTCTTACCCCAAACCCCGGAATATCTGTATCTGAACCTTGGGAACTCGTCCTCCTCTCAACTCCAGTCTCTCTCGTAAATTCTCATAGATTCGCTGCAATATCTGCCGGGCCCTGCCACCGCAATTTGCGCTAGTGTAATCCCCCCAGTCATGGGTCGAAGGATGCTATCCTTAGCATTAGCATCGCCATCATCACCGAGGATCGATACGGCTGCCGCTGTTGACGCTTCAGCATCAACCAAAAAGAATAGAGGCCGGCTGCCGTTGAATCGGCGTCCCACTGGTGGTTTAGCACTCGTCAGACCTCTTCTCCTTTTTTCGATTTCTGGCTTCATGCGAGCATCCGGTGACGCTAAGCGTCAGACCCAGTGACGCCTTTTTAGTTTTCTCCGCAGTGAAACGCAAAGCTATGAAGATAGAGGGCGCTTCTGTAGCTGGTTGATCCCGCGCTTGTTGATGATTTTGTTGCTGTTGCTGCTGCCGCTTGCGGCTATCGCTTGTACTCGTGATCGTAGTTGAGTTCTTCACCGCCAACCGTTCTGTGATGCTTGTTGGGCCAAATGGCTGCTGTTATTGCTTCGAGCAAAGGGAGAGAAAGAACAGAGAAGTGTTTGAGAAGATCCCGCCAGGCGGCCGCATCCGATAACAGCAGCACTAGCGCGACACCGGACCGCCTTGTTCATTCCACGCCATAAAACTAAGCAACTGACAAACACCTACGGAGTAGTTGTGAATCAGCGTAGTATTACTACTACTATGAGAGCAGCAGCGGCGACGACGGTGATGATCCGGTGAGAGCGGCGTCTGATGGCCCTCTCCCATCCATCGCCGCGTGGGCCGCTGCCGCGGCTTCTGGTGCGTACCGAAGCCAAGCGGACCCAACGAACGAAGAAGGAACCGGTGCCAGTGAACATTCAATGGGCGTCCAGGTACCGTCGGTTGTTTCGCTCTGATCCAAAGACGCCAGCTAGCACTCAGCCAGTCAATCCCCACCAGCTAGCACGAACATCTGCTCAAGAGTAGAGCGCAGATAGAGAAATCGGTCTTACATTGGATAGTAAATTTTTACGTGTGTATGTGTGGATATAGCGAAACATACATGTTCGTCCCGACGAGCAGGCGATCTGCTCAGTCAGTCCCTGTCGTATGGTTGTGAGAAAAGCTGCGTGAAGGTCGATTGATAAAAAAGGGAAACCCACTGTAGGTACTCGGAGCTGACAGGCGAACGTACTGGCAAAACTAGACTTACTAGAGCAGACTACGCTAAGCTATAGTAGCTAGTAACAGTTGAAGTGTCACTGTATAATTTAACGGGTGATGTAAAATCAGCGAGAATATATCTATACACGAGTGAGGTTGGGGAAATTAAGGTAGACAAATTTGCCCGCGCATTTGGATTTTTTTTTGTGAAAACTGTAGTTTTTTTGTTATCTCGTTTATTTCTGGCGAAAGTCAGTCCGAGAGGACAGTGTTAAATGATTCAGATTGTCTGTGGACGAATCCACCAGGAAGAGGCAGAGGATCTCGCTTTTTAAATGTTTGTGATATGAGGGTGTTAAATGTACGTTACCTGCAAGCGTGTCCAAAGCTAAATCCTTTACCATAATCAAGGATTCAGGAAGGATTTAAGACATACTTCAGCGGATATTGAATTCAGTCGAATTCGGCCGGTGACCGGTGACTAACGAAAGCGCAATTTCATAAGGTAAGTTTCAATCAAATAGAATGATCTGTTTGTTGACAGGGCCTAGTAAGTAATTTCTTCATTTCAGGTGATGATAGTTAGTCGGAAGTCAATACAATTGCGTCACACAAAAGTGTGATATTTTCACTTTGTTCTATTGGATCTGGTTTGGTGTATGGACTACTTTATACCTCACGTCGACGTCATCTTAGGCCTTCGGTCAGATGGCTGGCTCCCTGCACGAAACGAAGCCTGGGCCACAACGTGCATGTTCCTAATATTAGCAGACGAAGACGCTATCTGCCTAGGCTGTCGCGGAGACCTATGTACGGACCTAGATGAATTTAGCCGGTTTCCTGTAACAGTACAAACTTGCTCGCTCACTGCATCTTAGAGGTCTGTTAAGCTAGAATAAGAACAGGCATCGTTTCTATAAAGTAACGTCGCTTTTCTTTTTATCCATCTGACGCATTTGCGTATGCGGTCTTCTGTGCCTTCGAAAAAATATCACTGGCCAGCACACGGTTCGTCCTGAGGGAATTTCTTTAGTCTACGGAATAATTTTCGGCTAACTAGCAAATAAAATCACGTTGAAAATAGGCGGGCCAAATTTATCCGCGCTAAAGCGTCCGAGGTAGACGAATGCCACACAACGAAACACACTGAACAAATGCAAATGGGTACTGCGCAAAACATCAGCTTCTGAAATAACAAGCTGCTTCGCAAACGATCAGAGAACTCGTCATTCAACATACCTGACTCTATGAGTAGCAAACGAAACTGATGTGTAGAAGGCGCGATTGAATCAATGCAGTACGAAAAACAGCCTTTTCTTTCAGAAAAGGCCGCGGAAGGAGTGGAACGTGAAGTGGGGTGGTACCGGGCAGGGAATGTCTGCCATTCGAATAAATTATTTTCTTTAACAGCTAGTTTAACTTGTAGGTAAATTGCATCGGCGTCTAGCAAATGTCTATCGGCTGTACCGGACGTAAAATTGAACATATTTACAAGAATTGTATCCAAAATAGATAGATATAGACCAGCCTGTTACGAGTTTTTAGCTAAGACGCGTAATGACAGATATCGATTAACTGTCGTTTTGTGTGGCTGATATTTAACCGCTACCGACTTAAGTATGACCGTACTGGAACTAAGCGAACGCGCCTATGTTTACTCTGTTCAAGTTAACAGGATAACAATTACAATGCTGCTACTTATTTGTCAAGTTATTCTGAGCTAGTTAAAGGCTGATATTTTTATCGCCATTTTTGGCTATAATTATCGGTTTGATATATATACGTTACGTTCAAACAGTGCATCTCCTCCCACACAGCATTCTAACTGTACGCATGCACCGATAGCTTTAGAAAGACGAAACACTTAGAAATGTTTCAGGAGAGACAACACCACATTATCTATTCCAGTAACGCTAAGTTACTATAGGTCAGCTCAATGATTTAAAGCGGCTAAAAGAAGCAAGCAGCAAAAAAGAAAACGCTTATACAGACATGTTTAGGGGGATCGACGCCTTCCATCATTTCGATGATTGTCAATATGACTCGAGCCAACGATGACGACAAGAAAAACTTCACTACACAAGTTTTGCTAATTAACGGGGGCATCAAGGTGAAAAACGTAAGCATAATAAAGTATGTTTCTTTCACCTCGGTGCAAAATATTCTAACGCAGCTGTTGAAAACCAAAGCGGTGTCTATCCGTTTCTCGTGGTGCTGTTTTTGCCACCGCCGCCATTTGCAATAGCGGGATGCTGATCTCTCGAATTGGATGTTTCCAATTATAAATAAGAGATTTAGCTTGTGCAGAAGCTGCTATGGTAGAATAAGCAGCTAGGATTCGAGTTATTACCACCAGGCAGCTGAATGTAATATCATGGAAATGAGTCGGTAATCTGTATCAAAGTGCGGTCGAGTAGGAGGCTGGTACTATATGTTGGAGCTCGACAATTCTGTCTGTTCCTATCGGACAGATTGTATCGCATCGCTGTGAGAGGTACGAGTCTATCATTCTGCTTTATATCTATAACACTCAGTCTTAGATTTGCGGAGTTGAACACTCCTCTGACGAATCAAGTCGTCCCTCTAAAATATGGATTTCAACGTGTTCTTTGATGAATTAGCGTAGGTCGACGATAACACGGTCAATGGCCGGTAGGTGAACTACATAACCATCTAATTTTGTTTCTGTTTCTTAATGATTGGACCCTCGAAGGTTTATCGGGCAGGTATGCCATTGATACTGTTAGTACAGTCTATATATCGATCGATGGCAAAAGGTCAATTTTTAGTCACTAAAGCGTAACGAGTGAGTAACATCTCTACGTTTCAGATAAATACGACTCATACACTTTTATTTAAATGAGTGTGACTTATATGAAATTTGTCGATATACTATGCATACTGTATAAGGAGAAATTTGTTATTCCCACTCAATTTTTTTTTGAGCAATAGAAAGAAGGTCCCGTTGAACAGCGACTGGTGATAGGCTATTGCTTCACAAACTTAATTTATGGCTAAGGTATCGCTCATTAACAGGGGTGGCGACGGACGTGAGGATGCGTCCAAGCAGAAATACTCTCAAACGGTAGTCATTTAGATTATTGGCTAATATCAGCAAGAAGCAAATCATTATATTTGTGTCGTTTGCAACAACTGAAAACGATGAGAGCCGCCGCCGCCGCCGCCGCCGTCGTATCCAACAGAAGCACACGTGTGTGGGTGCGGGGGTAGCTAGAATTGTTCACGTGTCATGATACTACGCAGTCGCGTTGAGGGCGACGGCAATAGAACTAGTGAAAATGACAGATAAAAGGTAGTCGCTGGTTATCAAACAACGCGCTTATCTGTTGCTCAGTCTTTTATTAAACTGCGTTATTCTGTGCGAACTCTTCTGACCTGTAAACAAGTGCAGTATGCACAGATAACACTTCGTGGCACCTATCATATTATGGGCTGTAATTGTTTGCGCTTTGCTAGTGAGCGAGACAAATATCTTAAAGATCACTAGCATTTCATTTGCTATTCAAGCGTTTTACCTAGTTGATGGGCTGAAGGCATCATTTGAGAATGAACGTCTATAAACTGCCAACTGATGAGAACCTTGCCAAAGCATGGAGGCCCTTTGAACGTCAGATCCTAAGCCAAGAGGGACAGACCGCGCTAGTTAGCAACCCCCATTACGATTCGTCAATCAGTTAGGAAGGGAAAAATCTTTCATCTACGAAACCGCCGAGAACTAAACCTAGGTAAATAACAGCTACGCCTCCTTGTTGACTGGATTTTTGTCCGGTGTTTGGGGCCGGTGATGACAACAGATCATGGTTCACAAAATATTCTCAGTGATGCATGCTTCTTCGTCATTTTGTGTAACTTCGCTTTTTTTTTTTCTTCTTTTGATCGTATTCGTTTTTCTCTCACCACAAGCCCTTGAAATTCTAGAGCCCTTGACTTGGTTTGTACGCGGATGTCAAGTATTGTAAAGCGTTGTTAAAGGTGATGGCTACGACGAAAGTAATTTACGTTCAGAAGAAGGGCTCACGCACACATACTGATAAACACACAAATGCATATCAATCTATCTACGTATTAGACAGCTCAGACAAGCTGCCGATTTCTCTCACTGAATATTTGTTGTATAATCAATTTCCTTCCGAGCAGCGATTAAGTGCGCTGCTGCGACAGTATCTGTTTATGTGATAAATATATGCGCACTAAATGCGTGGTCTCGTCGAACGGTCCGAGCTGGCCTGACTGCCGCTTACAACGAGTGAGCGGTGCCAACTACAACTACGGCAAGTACTATACAATCATGTCGTACCGACGTTTAGGTGCCGAAAAAAACGGAAGGGTGAGCTCGCGCACGGTTTCACGACGATCCGACGTCGGCGTCGGGAGAGACACTGCCGACGAGCCATCGTAGCGAACAGCAGTACGGCCATCATCATCGCCGTTGCAGATTATCTGCGCCTGTCTCTATCCTGTTATTGGAAAATAGCGTCATTAATTGCAACTAACCGTCAGCTTTTTTTTTTCACACATTTGGACACCATCATGAACGCATCACCATCGAGGAAAAATTGAAACATCGGGACAGCGGCGGCAACATGAAATGAAGGACCGTTGTACGAAGAAAACGCGCGCTCCAAAGCGGGCTCGCATGCTGATCGGCCACGGAAGCGCGTTGCCTCTTCACGTCGCGTGTCGGCCTCAGATTTATCGTAAAATCGGGTTTGCAACATGAAGAGGGGGGGGGACCCCGGACCCGGAGAGACAAAAAAGTGCTTTGCGAATTCCCTCACATATATGTATATATACGATGTCACCGAAATCTATTAATGGAACACGTTTTTAAGTACGTCAAAATTTACTCGGTTTATATATGCGATTACAAAATTATTAGAACGGGCAATGATGCGTTGGTATTACCGAATAAGGGCCATACGTTCAGGCATATATATATATATATATATATATATATATAGGAATCGTGATAGTGACCCACAAAACGAGATGCGGTTGAGGAATGAATAGGGCAAACCATCCATCAGCCGTCTCTCGCTATTGCATACGTTTCAATTGCTTTGTCTAATTGGTTGTGCCGGTGGCCACGAACACCCCAAACTTTAGTCTGCACATCATCGAACACTATACAGGCACTTCTTTGAAGTACCAAATATGGTTTTTCTAAAAATAATACTAAAATGAACTACCAAAACTAAGCCATTAAACGACCGTTAATAGCTATTGAATGAGATTGAAGCATCTATTTAGGGACACTCGCTTACACTATGAGATACATCATAAACAGACCTGTTGCCGTCCACTCTTTTTAATTTGTAAGACTATCTCGTTATATCACTATAGCTAACTTGAAATACTAACAATACGTAACGCCATCTGCTATGAATAGTAAATTAAGTGCTAGCATTAAATGTAAAAGATCATCTGTTAGTAAACACTTGCAAAGACATTTGTCTCCATCGCAATGCCGATCAGCTGCAAATT